CCCTCCTCTTTCATCCCAGCCCCATCCCCTCTTCCTTGCGTGCATTCCCCCACCCCGCCCACCCCCACAACGTGGCCCAGCCCGATAAAACTCTATAAAAAGAAACGCCACAGTTCGTGATTTAGCCCACACTCAGTCACCATATTTGATCCCCAACGCGGCGTACTGCTCGCGGCGCCGCGAAGAGAGAGAGGAGGCTCCATTAGTTCTAAACTCCTTGCGCTCATATGACCTTATGCAGTTGCGAGTGCCGTAAAACCTCTACTAAAACTGAAAGAAACGAAATCATGTGGAGAGAAAAAATCGCAAGAAAATGGAACTTATTTTTTTCCCTCTCCTTTTGAGAAATTTCTTCAATGGTATCTTGTATAATATGTCATTACAACCATCTGAATGATCCGCTTTTGAAAAAAATGGGGATGAAACTGTATATTCAATTAATCACAGTGTGAAAGTGGCACACACTAGTACACTCACACATCAACCACAACTAATGTGTCATATTATTTTTTGTGTGTATATGTTTGTGTTCGTGCAGAAACCTGCACATCGCTGTGCCGGATGTGGTCACACACTTACTCACTCACACTTACACACACACACACACACACACACACACACACACACACACGCACACACACACACATACATACATACACACACACATCGATCGCAACTAATGTGTCAAATTATTTGTGTGTGTGTTTGTTTGATCAGAAACCTACACATCACCATACACATAGACACCCGCTTACTCTCTCACACATCAATCACAACTAACGTGTCATGTTTTATGTGTGTGTTCCTGCAGAAACCTACACATTTGTTGTGGGACGTGGACACAAACACAGTCACACATCAATCGCAACTAACGTGTCATATTATTTGTGTGTATATATGTGTGTTCATGCAGAAGCCTACAATTGCTGTGTCGAACGGGGTCACCCACTCACTCACTCACTCACTCACACTTACACACTTACACTCACTCTTGCACACACATACACTCAAGCATCAACCACAACTAACGACGAGTGTCCTATTTTATGTGTGTGTTGTTTTGTGCAGAAACCTACACATCGCCGTGTCGGACGTGGATGTGGATCATTACATGGTGCAGGCCCTGCTGGAGAGACTGGTGAGGGAGGAGCTTACGCCCATGATTGACAGACAGAATAACTTGGGACAGGTACGTTGTTGTCTCACACACACATGCACGCACGCACGCATGCACAAATGTACAAACACATGCACACACACACTCATACACACACATAAACACGCACACATGTGCACGCACACACAAACGTACAAACACATGCACACACTCGTATGCACACACTCGTATGCACACACACACACACACACACACACATACACACACACATACACACACACATACACACACACATATACAAACTAGCACACTCTCTCTCTCTCTCTCTCAAGCTCTCTCTTTTTCTCTCTCTCTCTCTCTCCAGATCAACACATATTCTGAACACCTCCCATGTTGTTTTTTTTAAACCATCTCTTTTCACCTCTCTATTGCCATCTATCTCTTCCTCTCTCTCTCCATGTTTCTTTCTCTGTATATATATTTTCTTGATTTCTCTCTCTCTCTCTCTCTCT